GGTATGGCGAGAGTTGTAACCCAGCAACATCTGGAGGGCCAAAGGTTTCCTGGACCTGATGCAAAGTGTGAGATCTAGCCATTCCCTCACAGAGAACAAATCACAAGTTCTTGAATTGTTATCCGAAACTCTCCGCAAACCACGACTCAAGGGCAATCGGTTTTCACAACACACCTCTGGACTAGTCACTGACTTAGCCACAAGCTAAGTTTAAAATATTTATTTTTCTCCCCAAAGAACAGACCTGGCTGTAAGCCAACCAGGCTTATAAGTGAGGAATGAGTGGAAGGTTAAACCCTCATTTCCATTGAAGCAGACTTCTAGTCACTTTCGTAAAACGACTGATTCCACTTAACACCAGACTTGCAACTTTTATCAACAAGATGGGGAAATGCAGTGTCCCACCAAATATTTCAAACTGGAACCCCAATTAGTTCTCTGCAATAAGTGAACTAATACAAACCAACTAGAATCACCAATATGGTGTACATCCCCATTTATAGAAGTTGTATGGCAACTTCCCACTGGAAGAACACTTTTGATCGATCCCCAACCCAAGAGGGCACCCGTGCTGCACTCATCACACTGTCAAAAGCACATGACTTCTCCCAAAGAATCCTGGGAAGTGTAGTTTACCCCCTAAAAGAACTACAATTCCCACCACCCTTCAGTTCCCTGGATTCTTTACAGCTGCAGCAGTGTGTATGTGTTTTAAGCATATGATGTGTACGCCACCACAATCCCTAACCCCAACGCTTCTAAAACTTTTAGCCACCATGAGCACCATTAGCTGCCTTGAGCACCATTTTGTGGAAAGGTGGGACATAAATTTAACAAATAAAAACGAACCAAACAAATACAGTTACACTACAGCAATACTGGGTCATATGCCAAGGATCCCTGGCTTGTGAAGGCATGTGAAGCACTTCAAGGACTTTGATAAATAATAACGTAAACCTAAATACACTTAGAACTGCAGCATTAGGGAACAAAGCCAATTGAACTCTGCCTTAAGCGCACATGTCAGGCTCAAAAGAGGATGAAGACTCCTGGGCTGAGCCTTGGGCTCTTTTGGGGACTAAATCCTACTGTTAAACCCTCACACATACACACTTTAAAACGTCAAATACAGTGGTACCTCGGGTTAAGGACTTAATTCGTTCTGGAGGTCTGTTCTTAACCTGAAACTGTTCTGAACCTGAAGCACCACTTTAGCTAATGGGGCCTCCTGCCACTGCCGCGCCGCCAGAGCATGATTTCTGTTCTCATCCTGAAGCAAAGTTCTTAACCCGAGGTACTATTTCTGGGTTAGCGGAGTCTGTAACCTGAAGCGTATGTAACCTGAGGTACCACTGTACCACTTTACTGTATGGGACCAAGAACCCCTCTTGCACAACATGCTATTCCTAATGGTGTGCAGTTAAGAGGCTTCGACAAAGCCTAATAAGTGGAGAATTAAAGGAGGAACCTTCTAGGAACATAGAAAGCTGCCTTATACCAAGTCAGAACCGCCGGCCCATCTTGCTCAGTACTGCCTACGCTGGCTGGCAGCATCTCTCCGGGGTTTCAGCCTAGGAAGCCTCTCCCCAGCCCAACCTGGAGTTGCCAGGGGGACTGAACCGGGGACCTTCTCCTTGCAAGGCAGACTCTTGAGGGGTAGCCCCTCTCCCATGACTCACCCTCCCAGCACCTGGCATTTCAGAAGCAGCACACGGGTCTACACAGACCAGTCTCTCTCAGCCTTGCCCCCCCCCCCCACGATCTTGATGGACTACAGCTCCCATCACCCCCCTGGCCATCTAAGGGATGATGGGGGTTGTAGTCCAGCGACACCTACAGGGAATACACACAATTAATTGGCTTTATCCTACGGTCCTTTGGGGGCACAGCTGACGACAATGCACCTCTCTCGCGCGCGCACCCCAACCCCCACTTACTTCCCCCTCCCTCACCTGCAGTGCAGGCCCCGCCCCTCGCCGCCCTCTCCCCTCCCCCACCCGCACACCGAGGCAGCCCCTCCCCCCTCCATGGGTCTCCTCCCCCCCCGCTCGAGGGGACGGGAGAACCCGTGTGGGGATTGTGCCCGGAGGGGGCCCTCGGGCGGAGGCTCTTACCTGCGCGTCCCCGCGTCCTCGTCCTCGTCGCTCAACATCGCCGGCCCCTCAGGGTGAGAAGGCGCCACCAGGTTCGCCGCCGCGGGCGTCATGATCACGTCGCACTCGCCTCCTCCCGCCGCCGCCATCTTGGCTTCCTTGTTGCAGGCGATCAACGGCCGGCGAGCCGGGAAGGGAGAGAGAAAAGGGAGAGAGAGAGAGAGCGGGAGAGCGAGAGCGAAAGGAGGACGGGAACGGAAGCTCACACGTCCACTTCCGGAGAACGAGTCGTGGCGGGTAGAACGCCCACTTCCGGCTTGGCTGAACAAGGAGAGGAAGGATTGGAGTCCGCCAAGAGCGAACCCCGGCTCCTCTTTTTTTTTTCCTGTGTGGCGGGAGGAGCCCCCTCAACCCGTGAGAGTAATAAGCATAAAAGGGACTCAAAAGATGGATAATTATTATTTGCCCGTGCTCACCAATCCAAATCTGATCTGTATCCGGAAATTTTTAATGTTTGACGTTTTATTATGTTTTTATGCGTGTTGGGAGACGCCCAGAGTGGCTGGGGCAACCCAACCAGATGGGTTGCTTCTTCTTCTTCTTCTTCTTCTTCTTCTTATTATTATTATTATTATTAACAAGTTGTTATACATCGTAATATGATGCTCTGGCATTCGTTCTCTCTCATGTCAGTCCACAAGTAAAAAATGATAATTGTTGCAACTGTTTTACTTTATTGCTATATGTTCACATACAACCAAGTTTGTAAGTCTTTGTAATTATTATTTTTTTAATTTTACAAAATCAATAAAAGGACAATTTTAAACAAGAAAAAACCAAAATCTGAGGCTGGCTTGTACTTACTGGGGCTTGTTGCTGGGATTGGGTTCCCTCAGTCCTTAATTATGCCTGTTTAGGAAGGAGTTTCGTTGAACTCAGCTGGATTCATCACTTTAAAGGGGAAAAAACCCTATGTAAAAGAACATAACTAACATTTTATATAAATATATTTGATCACCCTGAGAAACACACCAGAAACACACCATATGGGCACAGGGACGCGGACTTATAAAAAATATTGGGGGGGGGCCCGGGAAAGCTCATGAATAATAAATAAGCTCATGAATATGCAAATAAAGTGGCGCCGCCTCCTCGTGAGCGAATAGGGGAGAGCGTGCTGCGCCTATTAATCAGCTCCAAAGGAAATTGGGTGGAGCTTTTGCTCGGGAGGGAGGGCAGGAGGCATGCAGCCCGCCCCTCCCTGTGCATTTTGGGCTGGGGGAGGGGTGGCGATGGCGCTCTGCTGGAGGGGCGCCGGAGATTATTGGGGGGGCGGAGCCCCCCCAAACGAATTTTTGAGGGGGCTCGGGCCCCCTCAAGCCCCATGGAGTCGGCGCCTATGTATGGGCAGTGATAACTTTCCTATAGCCCTCATTTCCAACATCTGGTCCACTCAAAGCTTTAATCGGAACCTGCAGCCTGTCCAGATGCTGTTGGATTCCAACTCCCATCAGGCCCAACCAGCATGGTCAATGGTCAGGGATTATGGGAGCTGTAGTCCAAAAAGGTGGCTGGCTGCTGCAGGTTCTTCATCCCTGCCAAGTAGCTTTAGAACACTAGATTTTCATTTAGCTAGCATAACTAATGGTGGCTTTTTATGGCTAATGGTTGTTAACAAACCTATCCTCGACTAATGTATTTTTAATCATCTTACGGTTCACCCACACTTCATCTTGTGCTGTGCCTAGAAAGCATGGGTCCAAGAGGTTTTTAGGTTACCCCACCATTCTTGTTTGTTCTGATTCAGTGGTAAATCCGATCCAACGCCCATCAGTGGCTCCGATCTGGTGGAACGCTCTGTCACAAGAGACTAGGGCCCTGCGGGACTTGACATCTTTCCGCAGGGCCTGCAAGACAGAGCTGTTCCATCAGGCCTTTGGCCAAGGCACAGTCCTTTGGTAATCCTCACAGAACTCTAGCCCAATGGTTGCCATTAATTTGATTCTGAATTGATTTTAAAATGAATTGATTTTAAAATGCTGTGTTACTTTTATTGTTGTTAGCCGCTCTGAGCCTGGCTTCGGCTGGGGAGGGCGGGATATAAATAATCTATTATTATTATTATTATTATTATTATTATTATTATTAGCAGGTTTTCCCAGGGGAAAGCAGTCAGTGGCTATCCACCTTGTGGCAGATAATTCATAAGTTAATTGTGAAAAAAGTGTGACCACAGCGCATAACCATTCTCTGTGTTGTGGTATTCCACCATTTCCCCCGTCCCACAGAAACACACACTGCGCACTGTGCAACTCTTCCGCACTGTGCAATGTGTGCTGCTGTCTTAAGTGTTCTGCAGCTGAAGCTCTCCAGGTGACTCCTTCGCAATTGCAGAGCTTAGTATAGCAAAGCAACATTTCACATGCAACCCTAGATGGAGCTGTGGGCTGCATCCTTCTCTTTCTGCCACTTCTCCTAGCTCCGCTGACTTGTTGGCCCTCAGTTCCTCTCCAGGCTGAAGCTGAAGGCAGAAAGTAACGAAACAAAGGGGCAGGCGCTTTGGGAAGGTAAGTCCATATAGCCCCATGCAGGTGTGTGTGCTGATCAGCCGATCAGGATCAGCCGAACTTTCTCAGATGAAGCTCTCAAAACAGGATGCACCATTTAGAAAAGCATAATCAGTGTGGAATTGCATGCTCACGTCATACCAAGGTTTTATGCCACTCGTTTATGTGACAGCAGACCTGTGCACAGGCCCAACAGGGAACAGCCACCAGTCCAGGCTTTCTGGTTAGCAAATCTGTATGACGCCCAAGGAAAAGTGTCTGGCAGTGCCTTGAAGAGGAATGCATTCGTTGTTGGCATAACCTTTTGTGAATTAGAGCCTACTTCGATGCAAGGTGGATCCTCAGCCGGGCACGGAGTAAAAAGAATCAGAAATAGTGGGGCAAAAGTCTAGTGAACTTTGACACTTCTATGTGATGTAGAAAATGTATGCAAGATGAAAATAGCGACCTTTTTGCAACAACAATGAAAATTTTTCTTTTCTGCACAATGCTTGCAATGGGCAAGAAACGCATGACTTGGACTCCTTAGCAGGCTTTGAATAAACATCCACAAATTTATTAGTCGAATATATGATAGACAAGGCAAGGATATGTACAATTTTATAATATGGAGAGAATAATATGTGCAAAGAAACCAGAGAGGGGAGCTGAGGGAAGTCCTGGGTGGGAGGGAGAGGGAGGGATGGGAAGGGAAAAAATAATGTAATTGAATGCCTGGATTGATAAATTGTTATGTTGAAACTGTTTAATAATTTTAAAAAATAAAGAAATGCATGGACGTGATTAAATCAGATTGCAGGATAACATTTGATACATTCCAGCATTGAAACGATACGTTCCTCAAATAATAAAATGTGTGAATCGGATTCGCAAAGCTGGAGATAAGTTTCTAGAGCTCCTGACGGGGTCAGTCGAAAGCAAGACTGCTGGACCTTGCAGTGTGTCTTTCCCCAGACGACTGATCCTTTTAGGGCCGCTTGCATTCCTGCTCACGCCCTTTCCCCCAATTTGCTGGTACAAACCTGGGCTCCAGGCAGCCTGGCTGTTCTGCTGGAAGTCCCTCCCTGAAACTCCAAAAAACAGCCTCAGGCGCATAGCTCAGCGACAGAGTGTTTGCTCTGCTTGCAGTAGGTCCCAGGTTCAGACCCTGGCAACTCTTGGTATGGCTGGGGACAGACTCCTGCCTTAAACCTTGGAAAGCCTCTGCCAGTCCGCATAGACGATAGACAGACCGATGTCCTTTGGTGCTTCCTTTGCTCCTGCGCCCACACAGAGATGTGTGGGTGTTTGTATGCGTATGTATGTTTTCACCGCATGCCTTCCATTTGCAGCTTCTTGCATTCTTCCTCTTCCCCCACCGACCAGAAGATGGGGAAGAGCTGCAAAGTGGTAGTATGTGGGCAAGCGTCCGTTGGGAAGACCTCTATCCTGGAGCAGCTCCTCTATGGGAATCATGTGGTCGGTGAGTGTTGGCTTTCAGCTGGGCACAGCTCACTAGCCTTGCTTGTTCAGGCCTAAACCGGTGTTTAAGAATAATTCAGACCCCCTCCAAGTGTCCCTATTATCTGGGGACAGTCCTGGATTTACAAAAGCCGTCCTGGTTTCTGAATTGATCCCGGAATGTCCTGCATTTCCTTAGGACGTCCCTATTTTATCAGAGAAATATTGGGGGGTATGGTAGGACGTCCCTGTTTTCAATGGAGAAATGTTGGAGGGTATGGAGTGATGCGACCCGGCCCCCCCCCGAGCCAAGGAAATAAGGAACTATACAGCCTTTAGAAGACATCTGAAGGCAGCCCTGTATAGGGAAGTTTTTGTTTAAAGTTTAATTATGTTTTTTATATATGTTGGACACCACCCAGAGATGGGTGGGGTAATAATAGTAATAATAGTAATAATAATAATAATAATAATAATAATAATAATAATAATAATACGTCCCATTTTCCCATTTTCATCAGAGCAATGTTGGAGGTTATGACTATCTTGCTTGTTCAAGCCAAAACCATTTTTAAAGGCTAATTTACTGTACGGAGCCATTGCAAAAATGAAAAAGAGTCTGTTGCTTGCCTATGTGTATCCTGCACATCATTGGGCGTGATTCTAAGTGGCCAGGGAGAAAATATCCTAGCCTCGGTCCCATGTTTCTTGGGGAGTGTCACCTGTTTTACCACCCCTTGGCCTCAACTCCAATGCTCTTCTCAGGCCCTGATTCACAAAAAGGTTGTAGCGAGAAATAAAGCGTTTCTATCAGTTACTCTGTAGCTCCAGAATGACTGTCCCCCTCTCTCTCATTGGCGGGTCTTCTGGAGAGGGTGCAGAACCCCACTCTTCTGTCTGACCCACAGTTCAGCTGGTTGGTTCTTTCGTTAAGTGCTGTTCACTCTGTTTTATTGTAGGGGGTTTAATAATTATTTTTGATTCTTTGCACACTGCCTAGCGATACAGCTTGAAGAATTAAATATATTGCCACTAGAAAGTTAACATGCAGTGCAGAATTGTGAGCAAAGTGGAAGTTCAGTTTGACTGGGTTACACGGGACCCCGGGAGAGGGGGAATTCAATGTGGTGTTAGTTAGGCAGGCAGGAGAACACAGATGGCTGGGTGTTTGCCAGGGGCTCAAGGCCAGCAGAGAGCTCATTACCCTAGCAGTACAGTGGACGCTCGGGTTGCGAACGTGATCCGTGCAGGAGGTACGTTCGCAACCCGCAGCGTTCACAACCCACAGTGTCGCGATTTGGTGCTTCTGCACATGTGCAAAGTGCAATTTAGCGCTTCTGTGCATGTGCAAGTGCGGAAACCCGGAAGTAACCCGTTCCGGTACTTCCGGGTTTCAGTGCATCCGTAACCCGAAAACGTGCAACCTGAAGTGTCTGTAACCCGAGGTATGACTGTATGACCATTTCCACTTTGTAGAGAGCACCCAAGAAGATCAAATGCAGCACAAGATCATTCTCAGTCTGCAAACCCCACCTATTTCAGGTTAAGGGCCCCCACAAAGGATACTGTTGTTGAGAGCGCCCCCCCCAAAAAAATCCTGGAGTCTATACTAAGGGTGGGTAAAGGGCTGAAAGGCTGGTCGGCTGACAAAACTGAATTCTGGAGACAAAAAAAACGCAGAGGCAGAGTGTCAAGAAAAATGTGGAAGGAGTAGAGTGCTGCCGGCAGAAAAACTGCAGACAGGTGAGGCAGCTTTGGAGTCTTACACAACAGGCAAATCTGTCTCAACCAGTCATGAATATGGGGCAAACCAAATACTGCAGAAGACAACAGAAACCTTGGGCCGCATAGCAGTTGCACTCAGGCTGCATTCTTCTTCTTCTTTGGCCATCACTCGTAGCCGAGGAAGATTGTCTTCCATAAACACGGTTTTAACAACGAGTCCGTAAGTGACTGTGGAGGTCAATTCTGGATCCACACGTCCTTCCGCAGTGAGTGGGGACATTGGTTTCCGGGCGGGAGTTGATCACGGTGTGGATTTGCCAAGCGTGCCTTCCTCTTAAGCATCTTTCTCCATTGCGTCCTGCGTTTAAACATCTTCAAAGCCCATGACACCTTTGGTAAAGGCTGTTTGTTCTCCAGTTGGAGCACTCGCAGGCAAGTGTTTCCCAATTGTTGGTGTTTTTACTACATTTTTTTAAGATTTGCCCTGAGGCAGTCTTTAAACCTCTTTTGTTGACCACCAGCATTACGCTTTCCATTTTTAAGTTTGGAATAGTGTAGTTGCTTTGGAAGACGATAATCAGGCATCCGCACAACATGACCAGTCCAACGAAGTTGATGTTGAAGAATCGTTGCTTCAACACTGGTGATCTTTGCTTCTTCAGTACACTGGCATTAGTTCGCCTGTCTTCCCAAGTTACTGGCTTAAAGTGCAGCTAGGGGCTTATCCACATTTACCTTTCCTCCAATCTTTCCAGGCATGGTTCGCAATTAAAAGCTCTGTGTCTGAGCACCCTTTTCTTTTCCTTTTTGCTCCAGAGCTTTCCCCACAAAAACTCGCTCTTTAAAGCTCAATCGGAGCAAACAGCAATCCGCAGAAAACCCAAATTGACATTCGCTCCGATTCAGCTTTAAAGAGCGGTTTTCGCAAGGAATGCTTGGAGCAAAAAACCCATGGGTGCTTGGAAACAGATCTTTAAATCACAGACCTCTGCCTGGAAAGAGCAGGGCAAAAAGTACAGTGGTACCTCAGGTTACATACACTTCAGGTTACATATGCTTCAGGTTACAGACTCCGCTAAACCAGAAATAGTACCTCGGCTTAAGAACTTTGCTTCAGGATGAGAACAGAAATCGTGCTCCAGCGGCGTGGCAGCAGCAGGAGGCCCCATTAGCTAAAGTGGTGCTTCAGGTTAAGAACGGACCTCCAGAACGAATTAAGTACTTAACCCGAGGTACCACTGTAAGTGTGGATAAGCCCTAGGTCGTTCTTTTTCTCAATTCGGGTTGGAGCTGGTTTGAGGGGAAAACACACAAAAATGCAGTATTTCCTAAGAAATTAGAGAACATGTATGGATAGTATATAACATAATTTTTGCACTGCTTTCCAAAGCAGTGGTGGGAACAGACCCGATGCAGGGCAAATCGGAGTGTGGACACTGACACAAAGTATGGCAATCAGTCAGACCAAGGGCTGGTTCTCCCTGCCCCCAGCACAGGTCCAATTGTGTTTAACATCTGCATGGCAGGCAGAAACCCAACAGGCGCAGTTTCTTCCTGGCATAGAGATGCACCAATGGCACTTTGTTTCAGTTATTTAGGGCCAAACTGAATATGACATTAAATGCATCTTTGCCTTCAGTACAAAGTGCCTGTTTTGTTTTTAAAGGCAAATTCCAACAGCTTACTAGGGCTGGTAGTTGCCCGATCAGGAGTGGAGAATGTAACTTTTTCCATATGGAATATCCCTCTTCTAGAACTGAGATTTGTATTTGGAGGAAATTATTCACAGTTACTAATGGAATATTTCTTCCAAATGCTGATAGCAACTGCAGAGACATTTGCTTTTTTGGGTGGGCGGGGAGTTAGCAAAAGATTCTCTGGCTACTGTACAAAGCAAAGGTAACAGTGTTGGCCCATAAGAAAAAGAACATTGTATGGAAATAATGAACAGGTGGAATTTAGTAACTTGGTATGTCAAGAAAGGACATGGAGGTTCCTAGAATTGGAATAAGTTGCTATAAAAGAGGAAAAGTTCCCAATTAGATATGAATAGGCTCTCCTCTCTCATCTTTAAGCTTCGCAGGGTGCAAATAACTGTATTTAAACGAATTACATTATTTATATGTATTTTTAGAATTATGCAAAGCATAAATATTGTGTATGCTGTATTTTTCCGTGTATAAGATGCCCCCATGTATAAGACACTCCCTGTTTTGGGGGACTCCAAATTAAGAAAACACCCCTCAGCACTACCCGTGTATAAGACGAGCCCCAATTTTAAACCTACTTTTTTGGTAAAAAAAACTTACGTCTTATACACGGGAAAATACGGTAACTACACAATATTTTGTGAACATGTGTACGATATTTTCAATTTGTAAATAAAACCCTAAATCCATAGTAGGGTGCTAAGTTTATTAGGCCAGCTGCCAAAATATCACACGAGATTATGAGTTCTCCAGAACTCCTAGTTTACCTGATGGAAGAGTTCTGGAGAACTCAAGAGCTTGTGTGTTATGTTGTTCTGGTTGGCCTAACAAAAGCACTGCCCCTGGCTGCTGCGAGGATGTTGAGAACGAATCCTTCTGAGAAAACACTCCCGACAATTTCTGCGTGTCCAGTAATTGCTGCCCTCTGTCCCGTTGGCTGTGTGCAGGTTCAGAGATGATCGAAACCCAAGAGGACATTTACGTGGGCTCCATCGAGACAGACCGGGGGGTTCGGGAGCTGGTGCGCTTCTACGACACCCGAGGCTTGAGGGATGGGCTGGAATTGCCCAAGCACTGCTTCTCCTGCACTGATGGATACGTGCTGGTTTACAGCATTGACAGCAAGGAGTCCTTCAAGAGGGTGGAGATTCTGAAGAAGGAGATCGACAAGAGCAAGGATAAAAAGGAGGTTGGTGCGCTTACACCGAAAGGTGTGTGTGGGGAGGTCCTCAAGTGGGAGGTGGGGAACTCCAGATGTAGTTGGGCTCCCATCAGCCCCATTCAAGATGGCCAGTGCTGTGGGATAACGGAGTCCCTTTGACAGCCATAACGTCGCCACTCCTGGTCTAGAGATCTCTGGCTTTTATTATATATTTATTAATTGAATTTATATACAGTGGTACCTCTGGTTACAAACTTAATTCGTTCCGGAGAACCGTTCTTAACCTGAAACCGTTCTTAACCCGAGGTACCACTTTAGCTAATGGGGGGCCTCCCGCTGCTGCCACCGCGTGACTTCTTTTCTCATCCTGGGGCAAAGTTCTTAACCTACTTCCAGGTTAGCGGAGTCTGCAACCCAAAGTGTTTGTTACCCGAGGTGTTTGTAACCCGAGGAACCACTGTAGCCGGAGTTCTCAGGGTGGTTCACAGAAAAGATCACACTATATAAAATCAAAAGGAAAACAATAACCCAATAAACTCCCCCCACCCACCCAAAGAGCCACATTTTAAAAGGGTATAGAATGTCAATCAGATCAACCAAAGGCCTGGTTAAAAAGGAACGTTTTTGCCTGGCGCCTAAAGGTCTATAATGAAGGCACCTTGGGGAGAGCATTCCACAGATGGGGAGCCACTGCAGAGAAGGCCCTGTTCTTGTGTTGCCACCCTCCGGACCTCTCGAGGAGGAGGCACACAGGCCGGATTTAGATGGCGATTGGGTCTTAGTTTGCCTACCCATGATTTAAAGCATATTTAAAGTATGTGACTTCCCCCCAAAGGATCCATGAGAGGTCATGTGCTTTAACTATACGGTGTGGAAGAGATGCCACAGATTCTCTTGCATGCTGTAAAGGGCCTGTCTTCAACCGAGGGGTCAGTTCCCGCTACAAGGTCGCGGCTCGATTTAAAGTGAGTCATGGAAAAACATGAGGACTGTTGCTGAGGAGAGGAGCGAAGAATGCACTCTGGGGCTCAGGTCTGGCTAGTCTCTCAGGTCGGGCAAGCTTTGGGAATATTTGGGTCAAGGCCTGCAAAAACAATAACAGCCGTGTTTGAGGGCCATAAACTTCACACGTGAGGGAAAAACCAATAAGCACTTTTAAACTTGCATTAAAAAGATTTCAGCCACAGTGCCTTTTGAAAAACATGATGAAACCCTGAACTGATTTGAATGCAATTGCCAGAGAAAAATGTGTAATAATTACATGTAATAGCCAGCAGAGCCTGTATTGTTAGCTTGTAAGCAGTCGCTAAAAGGGCAAAAAATACTGGTGTTTCCTCACACTCCCCCCATCCACCCACTCTGCAAAATAGACAGTATTTGCCCTCTTATTTTGAGTTTTGACATTTTGGCTCTTAAGAAATCCTTCTGCACTGTAGAACTTGTAATCAAATCGCACGAGTGAATGGCAGTCCAGTAGAAGAATTCAGGTTAAGAATAATAGAATTGTACAGCTGGAAGACACCCCAATAGTCATCTAGTGCAGAAATCTCACCTAAATCATACATGACAGAGGGCAATCCAACTTCTGCTTAAAAACCTCCGAGGAAGAAGAGTCCACCACCTCTCCGTTCCACTAAAAATCTTCTTCATTTGGTGTTCTGTGGGGACTTCTGCCCCAGGGGACATTTAAAAATGGCTTCTCACTGCTAGCGGTTAGAATATTATATGCTCAAAAACGGAAGGGCAAAAAACTCCCAACCAAAGAACAATGGTGATATTGCTTGATTAAATATGTGGAACTTGCAACTATGACAGTGAGAATAAGGGTCCAAGATGAGAGAAGGATATGGGAAGAGTGGGAGTTTTTGGGGAGGATTTAAAGAGATACAATAAACTAATAAATTTCCAAGTAGGGTTAGAAATATGAACAGCAGTGAAAAACAGTACAGTAAATGTTGTGGGGATTTGAAGCACTGACTCTCCGATCGGCAAGCACAAGAGATTCAGTGGTTTAGACTACAGCGCCACCCGTGTCTCTTAAGGTGTACTTAAACCTACTTGGCACCAAAGGCAACAAGAGTTTTGAAGGGTTATTTATGATTGATTGTAAAAGGGTGTCAAAAGAAACTTTATCTGGTGACTTGCACATGTGGTATCTTTAACCTCTGTTTAGCCCATCATAATTGCCTTAAACCCTGTTTTACTCTAGAGCAGGGTTTCCCAAACGTGTGTCTCCAGCTGTTTTGGGACTACAACTCCCATCTTCCCTTGCTAGCAGGACCAGTGGTCAGGGTTGATGGGAACTGTAGTCCCCCCAAAAAACAAGCTGGAGACAGAGTTTGGGACACTTTGCTCTAGAGTCATGTTGCTATGAGCATTCATAAATAATGCTTTTAGGAGAAAGGCCAAAGGGGGAAAGGGTGTTGCTAGAGGAGAGGGTGTATTCTCCCCACTGCACCAAACTGACCAAGAAAAGCCACTAAAACCTCAAGCTGACCCTGAGCTAGCTCTAGCTATCATGTCCCATGAGCTGAGAGCACATCTTGTACTTTCCTGACAGGGGAAGGTTAGGTTGCTATCGCTGAACAAGCAACAAAACAGTCGGACTCTTTCCTGCGCCACAACCCCAGGCTCCCTGTCCTGCTCATTGACTCAGGCCCCTGGGAGTCGTTCCCACCAACTTCAGAGCTTCAAGGCACAGCTGCTACTATAAACACCAGTACTCAAGTGGAGAAACTGCCTCCCTCCCCTTGGCTTTTGAGCCTGACCAAACTATTGATAAGGGAAATTATTTAGTTTTTGCCTTTATGTCCCACCAAGGAGCTCAAAGTAGTGTACACGGCCCAGTATACCTGAAGGAGCATCTCCACCTCCATCATTCAGCCTGGACACTGAGGTCCAATGCCAACAGCCTTCTGGCGGTTCCCTCACTGTGAGAAGTGAGATTGGAAACCAGGCAGAGGGCCTTCTTGGTAGTAGCGCCTGCCCTGTGGAATGCCCTCCCATCAGACATCAAGGAAATAAGCAATTATCTGACTTTTGGAAGAAATCTGAAGGCAGCCCTGTTTAGGGAAGCTTTTAAGGTTTGATGTTTTATCGTGTTTTTAATATTCTGTTGGGAGCCACCCAGCATGGGTGGGGTATAAATAACACCACCACCACACAGTTCTTTTCCTCCTCATTTAATCCCCGTAACAACCCTGTGAGGCAAGTTAGGCTGATAGGCAGTGACTGGCCCAAGGTTACCCAGCAAGCTTCATGGCCAAAGGAGATTTGAACCCCGGTCTCCCAGGTCCTAATCCATGGGTAGGCAAACTAAGGCCCAGGGGCAGGATCTGGCCCAATCGCCTTCTCAATCCGGCCCGCGGACGGTCCGGGAATCAGCGTGTTTTTACATGAGTAGACTGTGTCCTTTTATTTAAAATGCATCTCTGGGTTATTTGTGGGGCCTGCCTGGTGTTTTTACACGAGTAGAATGTATGCTTTTATTTAAAATGCATCTCTGGGTTGTTTGCGGGGCATAGGAATTCATTCATTTCCCCACCCCCCAAAAAATATAGTCCCCCCCCAAGGTCTGAGGGACAGTGGACAGGCCCCCTGCTGAAAAATTTTGCTGACCCCTGTCCTAGTCCAACACTCTTTAACAACTATACCACACTGGCTATATATAAGAATGAAACTCGCCCATAACTGGTTGCCCCTCTATCCTGCATCCTTAATCTGGTGACTGAGGAAGGGCCCAGCAGCCTTGCTTATGTGCAGATCTGTGCATTTCTCATTCGTTTCACGCAAACTTGTCATTTTGTTCCGTTTGCGATAGGTCACCATCGTGGTCTTAGGCAACAAGTGCGACTTGCAGGAGCAGAGACGCGTGGACCACGACGCAGTGCAACACTGGGCCAAGGCCGAGAAAGTGAAGCTGTGGGAAATCTCCGTCGCCGACCGCCGGACCCTCATCGAGCCCTTTGTCTACCTTGCCAGCAAGATGACACAGCCGCAGAGCAAGTCCGCCTTTCCGCTCAGCCGCAAGAACAAAAGCAGTGGTTCCGTGGACGGGTGACTCGGGTGCTGTGCCCGCTGTATCTCATGGACCTGCATGCACATAGGGCTGGCCTTACCTTGAGCCAACGTGAAAAGGGAACACCCAGTAGCAGATTCCTGATGAGCCACTGCTTTCTTTCCTCTCTTTGCATGTTCCCCCTCATTTTTAAAAAAGGAGAACACCACAAGTACACAGTGGACGCCACTTTTGACTTGAATGGGGAAAAAATGTCTGAAGCTGACACCACCTGCCTGAGTCAAGTGCAAACAGGTGTGTTGTGCGATAAAAAAAGAGCAGCCTGGTTGCTGTCACGGGTTAGGGGCACATTGGTGGCTTAAAACACAGTGAGGTTGCTTTCTCCTCACTGTCCGCATTTTTACAGAGAGAGGGTGGGGATGTCTTAACCTGAGGCATGTTACCTGATCTGTTTTCCTGCACCCAAAGCAAAGTAGCCTATTCAATGAAGTTGTCATCTGAATGTGCAGTGGCTTTCACAAGTGTACACACCTCAGCTTATGTTTCCTGTGGGGTGGGCGTTGGTTTGAGACGAGGGGGAAACACCACACGGCAGTATTTCTCAAGAAACTACAGGATACAGATGGATTGCGGCGAACATGTGTACTTGGCTTCAGACACCAATGGTGGAAGTGCCACTGGAGTCAGAGAAAGTGGTAATGTGTACCCAGCCATGGTTGAATATTCAACCATGTTTGGAGCCATTCTTATTTTCCAAGCGGCTTTGATTTTAGCCTTGGAAACCTGTGTTAAGGGTACCAAATTTTTGCTTTTGATTTGGGTCCCGAAGAGCAGCATGAGCAGCAGAGAGGGGAGTCTTCCTTGACCGACCCCATTTGAGTGGTGACCCCGATTCAGTTCCCTTCCCTTCCTTCTCCTTCTGCCCACCAAGGGAGGATGAATGCTGTAGGGTGAAGCTGCAGGGCCATGGGGGCAATGAGGACAGTGGAATGTGCTGTTCAACATGGGAGCAAGCTCATGGCCAAGCTAATCTGTTATCTCCCAGACCTCTGGTCTAGCAGGAAATATCTGCAGAAAGGCTTGTATTTGTTTATTGAGAAGAGAATGCTGAGTAATTGCGGATGGAAGAAAAGCAAACAGTTACATGCCTTAAGTTCAAGGCCGATCCTGGTGCGACTGCACTTCCTAACAATTAGTTTCCAGGCCCAATTCAGAGTGGTGGTTTTGACCTATAAAGCCTTAAACGGTTCAGGACTGCAATAGCTCAAGGACCGCCTCTTTCCATATGAACCGACCCCGATCCTGAGATCATCTTCTGAGGACCTTCTTCTTGTGCCGCCTCCTCGAGAGGTCACGAGAACGGGGCCTTCTCTGCAGTGGCTCCCTTCCTGTGGAATGCTCTCCCCAGGGAAATTCGCTTGGTTCCTTCATTGTACATCTTTAGGCGCCAGGCAAAAACATTCCTTTTTAACCAGGCCTTTGTTTGATTTGATTGACATCCAATGCCCATTTAAAATGTGTTTTTGGGGGGAGGGGGGTTATTGGGTTGTTGTTTTTATTTTGATTATATATTTTGTGGTTTTATATTTTGATTTTGTTCTGTGAACCGCCCTGAGACCTCCGAGTATGGGGCAGCATATACAAACAAACAAACAAACAAACAAACAAACAAACAAACAAACAAACAGAAGTATGGGGAAAGTGTCATCCCAGGAATGGGATTTAACGGTTTGGGAAAGCCGATTTTGGTTAAATAGATAGCTCAGCTGGGTAGAATGTGGTGCTCACAATGCCAAGGCCACAAGTTTGATCCATGTATGGGGCAGCTGCATATTCCTGCACAGATGATCCGCAGGGTCCCTTCCAACTCTGCAATTCTATGATTGTATATATATTTAAAAACACCCCAGTACATGGGATAGGTTTGATTTTGGACATCTCATGAACAGCTTTTCCAAACATAGTGACCCTGCTTTCCCAATCTGGTTTAGGAACAGTTATAAGCAATTTCTTGGACAGCTGGCATCAAATTAAGACTGCAATCCTATACATACTTACCTGGAAGTAAACTCCACCGAGCGATGTCCATGGAAAGATCACTACTTAGCTGGGGTCAAGAACGAAGGTATAATAGTCGTCCAGAGATCGCTGGTTATGATAACGGCTAATAAGTGTATTGGAATCCTTTTAGCTCTGGTGTGTAAAACTATTATGAGGAATGCAGAATATATTATTACTTCTTTTATTAATAAAAGTTTTAGGTTATTGCACTTTCTTCCTGCACACTGAAAACTGGTGTCTTCCATCAAGGTGATAGTTAGGCTGCATGTTTATTTGGGCAATATGCAAATATATGTAAACCAACTGGTTTTGCAAAATATAATTGGCCACCCAAAAATAAATAAATCTGTAACCAATGAGCAGCCCTGGCACTTTGTTCCTGTTCAAGAATGGTAGAATCTGGACAAGATGCACTGAACTACATAAAGGCTACAGAGGATCTGAGACCATCATGGTCACTCCCTTCTACTTATTGCTAGATTTGTAACATTAGAAATTTAAACACACACACACATACCCCAGATGTGGAGTAGGGGTGGCATCTGAGAGTTGTAGTTCAGCAACTTTCTGCAGGAGCATATTGCTCCCCCCCCCCAATATAAGGCTTAAACCTAGAATTGACCCCTTCATCCTAGATGTCATTTTCCATATCCAGACGTATATTTCTTTTGTATAGGGGAAGAGATTCCACCCAGCTACAATTTGAAGTGGTGCAGTCCAGATTTACCGCCCCATTTTGCTGACTTGTGTAGACCAGTTTGTGTAGACCTTTGACTCGAGCTCTCTCTACCCATTTTACGATGCTGCTTCAACCTGCCGCAGAGCCGGAGAGAAAACGGGTTGCAAATTCCAACGCCAAAAGGCAATGCAAACTCGCAACGGATACATGAAAGTCTGCTGAAGGGATTCAAAAGGCTCCGGACTCTTTTTTGAGGTGGCTGCAGATCATGCTATGCCAGCCCAGCTTGTGGTTAAGGTCTTGCCTGAGCCGCTCTCTGTCCCATCATCCGACAACAAACCAATGAGCCGAGAGTTGTTCTTCATTCACCTGTGTTCCATTTATTGACCAAGTAACACAGTAGAGCAATGGTTATCAAAATATTTTTTTTTTACTTAAATCTCAACATTTTTATATATTTATATTTATATATAGTACATCAAAAATATACATTGAACCATCAGAGGGTGGAGTGGGGGAACAACGTACTGGCCCAAGTCCCTACATTTGTGTTGGGTTTTCCATTCACTTTTTTGTTTTTTTAAGGATCAAACATGGTTACGTATCACTCCTTTTTTTTTTAAAGAAGAAAAATTTACATTTTTGGGTAGGGTGGGGGCACACACACTACTGAGAGCTATGGCCTAGGCGCCCTACCGACTACCTGGAGTACATTATATGCTATGTTCAAAGGCATTAATGCTTTGGATACAAAGGAAAAAAGGGGCGACGGAAGAAAGCGTCCACATTGTGTTCCTAAAGCAGCCTCTTGCTATATTATTATTAGCAGAAGGAATGGCTTCAACGGGGTTAAAGTGCCGAGTGTTTCGTAACACCAGCGCCGGAGTGGGCAGCGGAGGGCAGCTGCCTTTAGGCCGAGAGTCTGGTCAGAAGGTCTTATGGCTTTATGCGAAATATTAAGGTAGCGAATGAAGCTGCAGGCAGCATTGCTGGGAATCGAAGTGCGCCCAGCGCTTGGCACGTAGCTCCCTACATTTCCCCAGACCTACCATTGTGAGCAGGGCAACGAAGAGCGAAGGCGAGAGAAACAAACCACAGGGCATGGGCAGGAAGATTTCCGAACGGGAGGAAAGGAAGCACAGCCATAGGGACAACCAGTTGGCAAGCCTAGGTAGGACTACTCAGAAAGAGAGGCACAGCAATTGAGCTGTTATAGGGCAACTCTGAACCATGAGGATGGGAAGCATGTTGATGAACCTAGAACCACAGAGAATGAAGATGAACCTAGAACTGCACAGAATGGAGATGAACCTGGAACCACAGACTGGAGATGAACCTAGAACCACATAGACTGAAGAGCAGAGATCTCTTGCTCGCTGCTATCATAGCTCCAATGCCCTATTTTGCAAATGCTGACCACTTGGTGAGATGTGTGTTGCTAGGTGTACGTTTCTCCAGCCATTTTTGGAATGTAGCTTTACAAACAGCCCTGTATGGGCAATGCGGATTTTTCTAGCTTGTAAATAAACAGCCCGTTATCAGGAATGCAAACATTTCACCTATTGGTAATTTGCATGCTCTCTATCTGCCCGATAAGGAATTGCTTGAAACTCAAAAAGTTTTCATACTCCTATGCCAACCTAGGGATGTCTTCACACCTTGTGAGTCAGTGTGTGAAGAGAGAGAGAGAGTGGGAAGCCAACGCCAACTGCGGCTCCCTGGTGTGTATACACACTGTTAAAATATGTGTCTGTCACATGTCCACATCGTTTTTCAAAAATATAGGTACCTGCAACGTATTTTCTATTGTGCACATTACAGACCCAAAGAGTGAAGAGGCCCTAGGTTGGCCCAGTAAAGTATTTTAACCTACTTTGTATCTCCAGAAAGGGAAGCACAGTGATGCACCATTGTAAAACCTGGAACGGAAAGCACAGTGATAGGCCAGATATCAGGAGGATTGAGAATAATACAGGGAAAGAGACATGAGCGATGGGCGTTATCTTTGGAGTGCCTCGACTTAGAAAGAAAAGCAGAGGGGAGCCCAGTAGACAAGCTAGCTGGTTGTTGAAATTAGGAAGGGGGCATCAGCTAAAACTGAGAACCTTACAGAAAAGTAAACATTCAGGGGACCCTACAACAGAAAGGCATTGGTAACATCCAACAGAAACGGAAGAAGATGCAACAGGAAATCAAGAATGCTGGCGGTAACTGGGGGTTGTGTTTTCAATCCATTTTGAGAGTATCATGCTACAGAAACATAGTTCGTTAACACCCACGTTTAGGTAGGAGACCCTCTCATTCTACACGTGAGTTTCCTTCTCTTAATCGAATCAGGCCCATTCTCCTTGTAAGGGCAGTGTAGTGCCATCGGGTGAAGGTGGCATTCTTCCTTGGTGCCAAACTTTGGGAGCAGAGGGCTGGAATCTCATGACTCTGCTGTGGTTTTAACATTGCCTAAACAAAGCAAGACTACAGGTCTCTGCATGGAGCAAAAATAACGGCAAATGGACGAAATAAAAACACATTTCTTATGGCAAACTCGCTGTGACTGCAGTTAAGGGGTAGGTGGGTACTATAAAAATAGTACCCACACCCATAAGTCTGTTTCCAGAGTCTGCTGAATTGCTAGAGGGTTGGAGGCCAAGGGTACCTGTTCTCAGGGGTGATATCACCAGCTCCAGCTCCCAGCGTATCAGCTCGTCTCCACAAGTGTGCAAACTAGAAGTGCCCTGTCCAGTTTAGCACCAAAATGACTCAATCCCCAAATGAGGTTAAAGTGTATACCTGTCATGGCTCTTCAAACTTTCTAGGGCTTGTAACAAACCCTCCCAGTCCTGAATGTAGTAGTTCTCCCTGCTTTGTCACAGAATCTCCTAGCGCTCTTATCACCAAACCTGTCCTTTCTCTGCCTTCTAATGGAGGGGGGCGGGGATCTCTACGGGCCTAACTAGGTATAGCACAGGTTCCAATTTGGCTTGTGAGTCCGTTTTCCCCAAACCGTGCCCTCCCGCCTCACACCTGACTTCATCAGAGATGTCGGCACTCCTAGTGAGTGAGATTTCCCTGGGAAATTAATGGAGCAAAGGGGAAAGCACAGGTCAAGCGGGAAACTGCTCAGACCCTTGCTTTCTAGGTACCGGACAAGTGGAAGTGTGGACAAGGCCTGATCTGGAGGTTGGAGTTTGTGCCTTGGTGAAGTCACGGGCACTAGCCAATTGGCATAATCCAAAGTGTGCTTACAGAACTATCCCCTTAACACACACACACAACTTGGCACTGGAGAGAAAGACTTGCACTTGTCTTGAACATAGTGAAGATGCTTACAGATTGGCCCCTGCCCTCTACCAAAATTATATCTGTCCTCATCCCCAGGACTCAGCTACACCGGCAAAGAAAAAAACACTTTATATATGTTGTTTATGCGTTCTAACACTGTGACACCAGATGGCCGTTTTGGCCAACATGATTTCTCATACAAAGTTTGCAATGCGCTTAACTGAAACGTTTCTTTGATGCGTCTAGATCCAGCCTCTCTTGAAACTGGAGAGTCCCCTCTCAAAATGCCACTGAAGTGGGGAGCAAAGCAGAGCGGCTTGCTTCTTCTTGCCAGATGGCTGTCTGCCTGCTGAGCTTCATCTACTGGCTTGGGAAACAGCAAAAGCTCTTGTTTGAAAAGCCACACAAATGGAGAGAAATGTCATTTTGTGTGCATTCTCTGAAGCATAAAGGAACCCGTGAGATCTACACCCTGAGACTTTAAATATGCTTGTTATAGCAACCGTAACTCCTTTTGGAGTAGGGCGAACCTGTCCTGATTCCTTGAACGAACCTATTTTACATTTTTGATGTTGTCTGCCATAAATGGAAATGGGTTTTAGTGTCCCCTGGGACAGGAAGGTACATTTCAAAGCTGCAACAAGGAGACCACTGCAGCAAGGAAACTATGGTGCTGTGTGTGGGGGAAGAGCGTGTGTGTCTCTGTGTGTGCTATGGGCTCCCTCCTTGTCATACAGTAGAAACAAGCACAGCACAGGAACCAGAAACAGGCAAAGAAACCCAAGAAGAACCGAGCCACTCCATTAGTATTTTTGCATAGATTAGAATGGCTCGTTGCTTCATCGTGGCCAGCAACCTTGCTGTTTTTATTCCAGTAGGGTCCATAATTATCCTTGTGGGACAGCTGCTGGGTATATGTTTGCATTCAGGAGTTATTGGGTTTATAAGACTAAAGTCTGTAGAACAGTGAAGTGGTTTTCAACCAGTGTGCCATGGCACCCTGGGGTGCCTTGAATGATGGTCAGGGGTGCCGCAGGCAACACCGGCCTCTGTCCTTCCCTCCCTCCTCTGATGCCTTCTCACGTCTCTGTCTCCCAAAGACTTGCACATCTATTTATTGCAGCAGCCCTGGCTATAAGCTCCCCAGGCGAATGGTGCCTCTGGGGATGGCCAGGGGGTGCTCCTCAGGTCCCTGTGGGGCAGTGCGAGGAGGCACTTCTCTTTGAGGTGGGGGGGGCAGTTCAGAGACCAGGGGCGACAGCTGTGGCTGCCCAGAGGACTTTCAAGGAGAGGGGAGCAGAGAAGAGGCTGAGGGAACATTCAATGGTATTTGAAAAGGGGCGAAGGGCTGCCGGCTCTGCAGGCAAGGGGTGGCATAACTAGGCTCCTGAGCCCCACAGGGGTGCCGCAGAAAGAATTTAGTTATTCAAGGGAGCTGTGGACCCAAAAAGGTTGAAAACCTCTGCAGCCACCACCCCTGGTGGCAAAGAAATGCCACTGCTTTGCATAACCTTGTACAGCCAACTCTTTGGAATCCCAGCAGAAGCCAGATTCCTTTGGGAAGTTTGTACCCTGGACATGAAACCCAGGGTCATCTGCACTTGCTGTTTGCCCTCATTGTTTGGCACCCCCCAGCCTTTAGAATCTGTGGTGCCCCAAGCAAAAAAGAGACTTCTCAGAAGTGTAGCCAGGAGAACCGCCCAACTTGATGCAGCGGGGCTTGGGGAGCGGGGCCACTGCTTAAGTGGTGGCACAGTGCACATGACTGGTGAGTACAACGTCCCAAGTTCAGTTTCTGCCATCTCCAATTAGAGAGAGTTTTGGATTTGATATCCCGCTTTATCACAACCCGAAGGAGTCTCAAAGCGGCTAACATTCTCCTTTCCCTTCCTCCCCAACAACAAACACTCTGTGAGGTGAGTGGGGCTGAGAGACTTCAGAGAAGTGTGACTAGCCCAAGGTCACCCAGCAGCTGCATGTGGAGGAGCAGGGAAGCGAACCCGGTTCCCCAGATTACGAGTCTATCACTCCTAACCACTACACCACACTGGAGGAGCTCAAGCGACAGGGCTGGGAAAGAGCACTGCATGACAGCTTGCAGAACTGAGAAAGGAGAGGGTTACATGAGGAGGTGGCATTCAGAGAGGGAAGCAGCTGTGGGGCTCTACCACTTGGCTGAGAAGGGCACAGGATGGAGTGGCAAGGTAGGCTTAGACTTGGACTTGGAAGGAAGGAGGACCAGGTGGGTAGGACTCCTGGAACCCTCCCTTGATGCACCTGTCAGTTTGTGGCAGAAGTACCACTTTGGTCTGCTGATGCTCCAAGCCCTAAGACAACCAAAGGGGAGGAAGTGGCTATTAGGTTTTAGGGCACTCTCTTTCAATACACGATTGTCTGGCAAATTTAATCATAACTTCTGATAGTGTGCATGTCCTTGCATTTCAGTTCACCCAGGGGTAATGTTGCTGGGGTGCGCCTGTCGCCACTTGGTAAACAGGTCGTTTGTATTTTCCTGCCAGGTGGCGGGGCATTTTACCAATTCACCCCCTGCTTCCGTTGTTGGGCGCAGAAGTGTGGTAGCTGGTAAGCAACCAAAAGGGAATCCCTCCTCAGCCATGTGCTTTCAGTGTAAGGTGTGCAAGCAGCCATTGATGCTGGAGGGATCTCCTATTATTTTCCTTCCAGCATGCAGTCTGCTTCCCTTGCTAAAGGAACAGAGAGTTTTGTGCTTTGAAGGCACTTGCCAGCCAGATGGGCGGGGTACAAATAAATAATTATTATTATTATTATTATTATTATTATTATTATTATTATTATTATTATTCCAGTCTGTGGCGTGGATTGTGCAGGCTGCCAGCAGGCTTACCCACACTTCACTTGTCCTAGAAAACTTGGTTTTCCATTTGCCCCACTGTTTTCCCCAGGAAAACCTGCTCTAAAGCTGAATTGCGAATTTGCAATCTGCAAAAAAACCCAACTGATGTTTGCTCCGATTCAGCAGTAAAGAGCAGGGGAAAGCAGAAGGATGATCCCATCCTATCTTGCAGCATAGGAGAAGGATAGTAGTTTACAATTATTTCTAGCCTTTTGATTCTAGGAACTCAGCGGCTGATGTTTAGAGTGAAGTATCCAGGGATCTGACTTCAGCTCACAGTGTTTTCTAGGAATAAGCTGCAAGATCTGTGATAGATGCAAAAACGTTACATCGGAACTGGTTCTTGGTAAGCTGTTCCCAAGAGCAACCTTTTATCTTCTGAACTCTGCAACCGAAAGCCGAAATCTGGGTATCCACCACCACACAGACACCACCAGCAAGATCTATTGAAAATGCTCCCTGACGTTCCTATTTCACACAAACCTCCTTCCCCAACCAGTAGTGTCCAACTTGAACCCTACTTTGGGGGATGATCCATACTGCACAGACATGAATATGTAAAACATTAAAGAGGAATCTAACATCTCCAAACACTCATGGACACGTGATGAGACATTCATGACTTCCTGGTGTACGTTCACTACGTGTTTAAAGAACATAACTTTCCCTTCACATGCTGCAACTCTCATAACACCAGACACTGTTGCATGTGTGATGTAAAGTATGAGTGGTGCTAATAGCTGAGAACTCCTGGCTCTTGGATACTCCTTTTCCAAAGCACATCTAAATCCTATTCACTTTCCAAAGCTGTGGATAAAAATACTGTTTTAAAAATGAAAACAAACAAACAAACCAAAGTTCTGGCTCATTTTGCACCTACAACCTATGCAATACTCCTTCACATTCTCTCTGTCTCTCTTTTAAACATACACATGAACCCAAGCAGGAACCAAAATCTGGGCTTTTCAGTTCCTAATCTGAAAACCATTTGGTCATTTTGAAAACTTTTTTAAAATAAAAATATTTTTGCCATCTGACATTAAACATTAAGGCTTGAGATGGTGGGGAGGGTTTAATCTGTACTCTGTGTGTGTGTGTCTCTGTGTGTGTGTAACTAATTTTGTTCGTATGAGAAATACTCCTTTTGTGCATACCCTCATTTTCCCTCTAATGTCTCTACTCAACAAACTAGCTCAATCCCTTCAGTAGTACAGGGGTATTCTAGCACCTCTCATTAAAGGGAGAAATACTGACATTCACCTACATGCCAGAGTCTTAGGACCAAGCAGACATGGTGTTAAGATTCTGTGACAGGAACTTCTGATTTCTTCTTTATTTTGAAAAAGCAGTGGGGGGGGCAGGAAGTGATCTGGATCAGGGCTACAGCATGCGGGGAGAGCCCCCCCAATCTAAACCTGGCCTCCCCCCACTTTTGCTTGTTGGAAAGGTGAGTAGTTCCAATCCCACATCACATCCTCTTTGGACCTCAGTTATTCACCACCCAGCAAACCCCAGACACTGAATCTTACATGGCTCCTGGATTGCAGTAACCCTGTGTAAAATGGCACCTCCAGATGTACAGATTTCTAATGAACCAAATGTTCTTGACAAGCTCCACCTGCTCACCTGGATAAGGTGGGTTGTGCTCCTAGGTAGATCAACCAATGCCTGAAAACCTGGTGCATCGCAGGCCTGCCTGAAACTAAGAGGGAGGACAACACAGGCGGACAGAAAGGAATACTCTCTTTCCCCAATGTGTAATCAAAACAATGACATAGGCGGAAACGGAGATGAAAAGATTGGTGCTTAAAGCAGTGGAAGGTTTCTGGTTTGCCTCTGCTCAGAGTACAGCCTGATTAAGATGCCCTCCTTCTCTGTACTGCTTCTGCCCTGATCTTCCCCACATTGGTTAACTAAATGAACCCAAAAAACCGTGCCAAAGTTCTCTAGTAGGGGGCAAAGACGATAGGGCCTGTAGCCGCTCGCACAGGGCCTGGGGGGGTTCGGAAAAGCGCTGGTCCAAAGATGGGAGCTTGGAAGAGGGTAGCGGCAGCTGGTCGGAGCGTTAGCGGGCTGGGCAGAGCACACATGGTGGCTGGGGTGAGGGGGCCCGGCAGGAACCGTGCAGCCAAGGTCTTCGTAAGGTGCTTCTGCAAAGCCAGTTTGGACTGTGGGAGGGAGAGAAGGAGGGTGGGGGCAGAGACACACAGAAAGAGAAAGAGAAAGACACGCACCACGTGAATCAATGAGCTGCAAAAGCAGAGGGGGACACAGTGGACCACGACTTTAAATCTCTAGCGCTTAACTTAAGCCGGGCCCTACTAGGCCCCAAGCCCAGAATGTGTTTTGAAAGCCTTGGCTCAGCTCTGGAAGGTGTGAAATAGCAGTAAAGGCAAACGATGCTTCTGAGCATACACAGAGGGCACCTCTGCCATACTGAGTAGTAAGGCCAACCCGAACCACATCCGAGATTGTGGACTTGGCTTCCAGGGTCATGCTGTACCTTCCGAAGCAAACTCAAGCCCCGGCACTGCTCTTTATAGATGTTAAGTATTTAAAAACCTTAGTAAAATGCTGAGAATGTCCCCAAAATCTTGTTGTTGCCTTGGACCATGGATTCAGCTTACAGTTTACAGTTAGGAGCCCACCCACCACACCTAATAACACTTGATCCCCTCCCAAAAAGAATGAATTCCAAAAGATGTGGATAAAATTGGCCTTCCTACGGTTTCATTTGTGATTTCAAAAGCTGACTGCTCAGCTTTTTAAAAAAGCTGGTGCTCTACTGCTGAACTAGTGCCCTCCTCCCATGTTATGCCATTACCTATCTCTCTCTAACTTCCCAACGACAACAATGCCTGAAGTTTTGCTGCAGACTGTTCAGCACCTAGACCAAGAAGGGGGACCAGGATCCCCAGAGCAAACCCATAGCTCCAGCCGCTCTTTTAAGGTATTTTCCAATAAGCCGCGCAGTTGGTCAGCACCTTGAGTGACAAGTACCTTCAGAATACTCACTGCCAGGGCCGTATTCTTCTGCAGCTTGCTGTATGGGCTGCATTTGGGCTTTGCTGGCTTCCCTGCCAGTCTGTCCTTATGCCTCCTGCTGTTCATGTGCTGTGGGTGGAGACATCAGACGTTAAACATTAAAAACTTCCCTAAACAGGGCTGCCTTCAGGTGTCTTCTAAAAGTCAGATCAAAGGGACGCGGGTGGCGCTGTGGGTTAAACAACTGAGCCTAGGACTTGCCAATCAGAAGGTCGGCGGTTCGAATCCCCACGATGGGGTGAGCTCCCGTTGCTCGGTCCCTGCTCCTGCCCGCCTAGCAGTTCAAAAGCACACCAGTGCAAGTAGATAAATAGGTACTGCTCCGGTGGGAAGGTAAACGGCATTTCCGTGTGCTGCTCTGGTTCGCCAGAAGCGGCTTAGTCATGCTGGCCACATGACCCGGAAGCTGTACGCCGGCTCCCTCAGCCAATAAAGCGAGATGAGTGCCGCAACCCCAGAGTCAGCCACGACTAGACCTAATGGTCAGGGGTCCCTTTACGTTTACCTAAAAGTCAGATCGCTTTTTTATTTCCTTGACATCTGATGGGAGGGCATTCCACAGGGTGGGTACAGATTAAGTTTTCTAATAAACTGTGGAGATCTTTTTTTCATTAGGGGATTGCAATGTACATAATTTAGAATAAAAGGAGGCAAATTCTGTGCAGATAATACAGCTGTACCTTGGAAGTCGAACGGAATCCGTTCCAGAAGTCCGTTCAACTTCCAAAACGTTCGGAAACCAAAACCCCATCAGACATTCGGGTTCCAAAAATAGTTTGCAAACCAGAACAGTCACTTCTGGGTTTGCTGTGTTTGGGAGTCAAAACGTTCGAGAACTAAGCTGTTCAAAAACCAAGGTACGGCCGTACTGTGTACCCCTGACTTCTTTTTATTAACTTCTTTATGGAATAGTTCTAGTTGTTATGTAACCTAAGCCTGCCTTCAGGGATATGTCTGTGAACCTGAATGAATCTGTGAGTAAGCTACTTTTATATTAACATTAAACAGATTCTTGTGTTTATTCTTTTAAAGAGGGATTAGAAGGGGTTTTACCAGGAAGGAATCTTTAACAGTAAGACTCAGATGAGTCAGCAACAAGCTGATCGCTGCGTAATTTAAAAAGGGGGATGTTTGGAACTCTGCTAGAATATGGAACTTGCCAGCGCAAGTTAAGAAGGATATGATTAAATAATATATCCTCTCCTGCCTCCCTATTCATCCCCACAAAAACTGATTTTTAAAATATATTTTCTTCATTTAATCATATAAGCCCCATTTTTGGAAGAGTTGTAGTAGTCTGAGGGTATTTTTGCCTATCTTTTAAAAAGCTCCTCCAGGTGGCGCCCTTGCTCAACTCCTTGTACATTAAGGTTGAAGTCACCCCCTAGTATGGCTTAAAGGTAAAGGTACCCCTGCCCGTACGGGCCAGTCTTGACAGACTCTAGGGTTGTGCGCTCATCTCACTCTAGAGGCCGGGAGCCAGCGCTGTTCGCAGACACTTCCAGGTCACGTGGCCAGCGTGACGAAGCTGCTCTGGCGAGCCAGAGCAGCACACGGAACGCCGTTTACCTTCCCGCTAGTAAGCGGTCCCTATTTATCTACTTGCACCCGGGGGTGCTTTCGAACTGCTAGGTTGGCAGGCGCTGGGACCGAATGACGGGAGCGCACCCCGCCGCGGGGATTCGAACCGCCGACCTTTCGATCGGCAAGTCCTAGGCGCTGAGGTTTTACCCACAGCGCCACCCGCCACCCGTCCTGGCTTATCCTTCAGCAAATTTATCGAATTTACAATCATACATTTTGAACAAAAGTCAAGTTGCTTCTAGTCTGGTGCAAATATAGATCGAACAGGTTTTTTAAAAAATTATTATTATTACCATTCACTGTCCTTTTAATAAAAATGTATCCACTATTCTTGTCTTTCAGTATCAACTGGATTTTAAAGTTTATTCCTTTGTCAAAAATGATTGCTACCCTCTGTCCTTTACTTGAACCTGATGCTATCACTTGGTGGGGGGACTAATTTCCTCATGCAATTTGTTTTCAGTGGAAACTCCACAATACAAATTTGGGGAAAAATCTGTAAAGAATAAGAAAAGAGAGAAAGAGAAAGAGAAAGGGCGCGCAGTGCAGAGGGATCACCTCTCTCAAAAATTTTGAAGAACACCCATTCCCCCCCCCAAAAAATATTCACCTAGAATATTTCTTATTCACTTTTTATTCAACGGAAGTTGAAAAAAAGCTCTCAAATATGGTGGATCCTTTTAAATTTCAGAATTAGCTGAATATGTCCAGGTTAAAGATTCTGCTTCCACCAGCTCCAACTCTAGAATTTTAGGGAGAAACTTCACTGAAAATTCTCAGAAGATTTGTAGAAAGGTTTGTCTGTTGTAGCTAAAACAAAGAGTTATGTGGCAAATGAAAAACTAACGTGTTTACTTCCACTGTGGGTTTTCAGGAGTAACATAACATCTAGGAGAGTAAAAGCGCTTCTTTCCCATTTCAGATCACGAAATGCAGAATTATTCCCCTAACTCTGAAGTACATTTGTTTTCTTTCAGTGAAGTCATTCAATGTGAATGGCTGAGTTAATGTTTATATGATCCCCGCCTGGCTGGGATCACTTTAGGAAGGAGAAGAAACCCTAAAATAATGGCAGCAAAGCGGCCACAGAGGGGAAATAGCAATAGCCGTGCACAGCTCTGAATCAGCAGGTTTCAACTGTGGATTTTTTCAGGAAATATTTTGGCCTCAGGAATATCGGTCTCACGACCCACGTCATAGCAGTACGGCCAATCAGAGCAGCCGAAGGAGAAACTCTTTTTCTGCCCGGACCATTCTGCTTACCTGATTGAGCTGGGTTTCTGAGTTGACAAAGATCTCGCACACCTGGCATTGGAAGGCTTTGTTTTGGATGCTGAGGCTGCCTTTGCTGCCAATCCGCTTGGGCTTGTGCCCGACTCGAGAAAGGATCTTGCCCCTGCCTCGCCTTGGCAGAACAGCTTGGCCTTCCAGCATTGACTTGTGCTTTGCTCCTGGGGGAGGGGGGAAAAGAGAGAGCGCATGAGTTCAAGGAGAAGCAGCGACCGCTCCTTGGCTCTTGGAAATGTGAGGAGTTTCAGGATAAGAGGCATGTATGGGGTCAAAGGATACCAGAATGAAGGCAGCTGCTGCCACACTGGAAATACCAGCCCTTAACAAGTGCGACCTTAGGCAGTCTCCCCGAGTGACCTCGTAATTCTCATCCAGCAGTGGCTACATGCTGAACAAAACAAAGACTCTGTGATTTTGCCTTGCCAAGAGTCTTCGCAAAGGAGAGTGTTGGACAGAAAAGGAGAACATCTAGCCTGCAGGCCAAATAAGACCTGGCAGGCGTCCTAATTTGGCCCCAAAGGCCATCCCCCCCCCCAGCCATGCCCACCCGACCCACATTTGATGTCAAACATGATGTCAAGTGTCGTGGGAGGTAAAGACCAAGAACAATCAGGACAACCCTAGCAAGCGCTCTCCCCAATGTTCCTTGGCTGGTGGGGCTTGTACTCAATCACTTTTAAACTTGCCGCCAAGTGCAAGGCCCAGTCTGGAACTTTGGAATACAGTGGTACCTCTGGTTACAGTGGTGCCTCGCAAGACGAAATTAATTCGTTCTGCGAGTTTTTTCATCTTGCAATTTTTTCGTCTTGCGAAGCACGGTTTTGGAAAAGTTTTGGAAAAGCTTCAAAAATCACCAAAGTCTTCAAAAACCTCAAACGGCTCTTCTCTGCGGCTTACGCTATAGCCTTTTTTGGTGCGCTCAGAGTTGGTGAGGTTGTGTGTGAAGCTAGTGCGCGGGGTTTAACTCGCGGCCTCCTGTGTGAGGATGTACAGCTATCTGAATCCGCTGTGTCAGTACTGGTGCGTCAGTCCAAGACCGATCAGACTGGCAAGGGTGTCCTGCTCAAGCTCACGGCGTCGGCCCAGCAGGGCCCATGTCCGGTGAAGGACACAAGGCGGTTTCTCCGCCTTAGACCTGCCATCCCGGGACCATTCCTGATACACGAGGATGGGTCGCCCCTGTTGAGATACCAATTCACTAGAGTAATGCGCAAGGCTATTGAGGCTTGTGGCCTACCTCCCCATGAGTACGCTGCACATTCGTTCAGGATCGGGGCCGCCACCACGGCCGCGCACCTGGGGTTGCCGGCAGAAAGGATAAAAGAGTTGGGCCGGTGGAAATCCAATGTTTATAAGTCGTATATTCGCAACCTTGCACCTACCCCTTAGTCTGCTTACCCTTCCTTTTGCTCTATCTTTATTCCCAGCTATGCCCGGAAGAAACGTGTGGATTTTGCGGTCACAGCATTGTTCATTGGGCCCGCGTGCGAGCGGCGAGCTGCGGCCTGGCACCCAACCTTGGTCTGCCACGTGACGTTCGAGTTTCCTGGTTTTCGAGAAGAGGCATGCGTTGGGAAGAACTGATGCCTTTGCTGCGGGAGAAAATAGCCAAGCTCGGCTCTCCTGACATCCTGGTGATTCATTTAGGGGAGAATGACCTTGGCAACAAAAGGAGCGTGGACTTGCTGTCGAGCATAAAAAGAGACTTGAATGCATTTGCAGCCCTGTGTCCCAGAACGACAGTGTGCTGGTCCTCCTTCTTGAAAAGAACTGTGTGGCGCGGTGCGCAAGACTGTATGGCCATTGAAAGAACCAGGAAACTCGTAAATCGGGCGGTAGCCCGTTGGGTGCGCTTTATGGATGGCCGAGTGATTTACCATGACCGTATCCGGATTAGCGACAAAGCTTTATACCGGGATGACGGTGTCCACCTATCTGATCTGGGGAATGACTTCTGGTTAGCTAGTGTCATTAAAAACATCTGGGATTGGTTGCAGCTTTGAGGGTATTGGCGGCGAGCCTTTAGCTCGGGTGGCGGTTAGGCATTGGAATAATGTGTTGCGCTGTGTGGAAGTGCTAGGTGTGGCCATCGCCTATGCCTTCAATTTTTAGGGGTATTCCGTTAAAGGAATCTGGGGGTCGTGTATTCCGTCCGATGCCTGCTTGGCGGGAGGCCTTGGCACGACCCTCGGTGACAGCAGGGGTGAGCCTATAGTCGGATTGGCATCGACAGGCTCCACCTACTGGTGAAGAACCCACTTATTTTGATCCAATGCCTAAGCCAATACCTTTTCAAATGCTGTAACCAATAAAGTTGTGGCCTTTTCCTAGCCCATTAACCTTATATCATGTGTCCTTGTGTCTTTATTTCACTTCACCGGGGTCGGGTCCTCGAACCACAACTCAAAAAACCAAAAACCTTTTCGTCTTGCGAGTTTTCCGTCTTGTGAGGCATTCGTCTTGCGAGGTACCACTGTACGTACTTAATTCGTTCCAGAGATCCATTCTTAACCTGAAACTGTTCTTAACCTGAGACACCACTTTAGCTAATGGGGCCTTCCACTGCTGCCACGCCGCCGGAGCACGATTTCTGTTCTCATCCTGAAGCAAAGTTCTTAAACCCAGGTATTATTTCTGGGTTAGCGGAGTCCGTAACCTGAAGCGTCTGTAACCTGAAGCGTCTGTAACCCGAGGTACCACTGTATAGCTGATTCTTGCAAAAGTGAGGACTGAAGTCACAGCTGGTCAGCCTCCCTGAGTTCTTTTGCAGGCGTGGTTTGACTCCAAACCACACCTGCAGAGGAATGTTCTTCCTTTTCATCCTGGCTTTAACTCAAGCTGTGCTGCAAAGGAAAAAGGGAGCCAGCTGACCTCAGGTGATTGTCAAGTGGGTAGCCCCACCTACCTGTCAATGTAGCCAGCTGAGGTGGGGGAGCTCAGGATCTGGCCTGTCAGTGGGATCCTGCCCCACCCACCCCTGAGGTTGTGCATTATTGTTGTTTTCTCAGCATGTGTGTGTGTTAGTGAAAACTACAAAGGATTTCTGAGCTCCTTCCCTTGCTCCAAGCCTATTTCTAAATTTGTAGCCCTGGCTTTTTTCTTTTTTCAAAAAAAGTGCAGTAGGCTGTGCCATATATTCCAAGGACAGCTGTCCTTATCTGCCATGAGTCAAGGGTATATGGTTTGGCGCCAGCTTTTATGAACATAGGAATAGATTCTATGCATTGCTTTCTGTTAAATTCAAAACTGAAGTGTCCCCTACCCATTATTTCTTTAAAACAAACACTATGGTGTATGTTTATGTGTTCTTTTTGTGCTGTATATTATATATGTTAATCTTATTAAGCCTGAATCACACTGATATTTCAAGTACGCTCCAGGGATCACAAACTGCATTATCTTCCCTGGTGCTGAAGTTGAATAGGAAAGCAAAGACAAATCCCAAATGAATTCATATAAATTTTTTTTGTTTATTTCTAGCTACTCTGATTATTTCAATTCCTTGTCCTGTTTGAAAGTGTAAGTCATCAAAAATGACAGCCTGAAAAATTAAGGGTGAGAGCAATGCTGGATGCCCCTTGTTATCTCGCCAAGAGAAAGTTCTGCATAGAATTTAAAAGCAACTTTTCTTTGGATCAACTAAGGAGTCACAAAGAAGCAAGCAAGCTTCCCGAGTTCATAAAAATCCTTCATCAGGAGACACAGGGTTGGGGGGGGGGAAGAAAGGGAGGGAGAAATAGATGTTACTAAACATGACAAAAAGCCCAAGCCTGCAACGCGGAACAGTTTTAGATGGAATGGAGGAGATGCTAAAAGAAACCTACATTATGTAAGGCTTGCAGCAAGAAGATCTCAGGTTGGCATGGTAGGATACAGGAAGAGAGACACAAAGCTGCTCTCCCTCAGATTTGAAATATAGGTTATGTACACATCAGCGGCTTAAAAGGCAGCAAGGTTGCTTTCCCCCCTACTGTGTTTCAAGTTGCATTTTTATGCGGCTGTACACATCAGAGGAGCTGTCATTTGTACATGCACAACAGAAGCCCAAAATGTACACATTTCATTCAGCTTAACTGCAAGCTTGCTTTTTCCAATCAGATGGAAGCTGGTTTGAGGGAAAGCACATCAAACAGGGGCGTTTCTCAAGAAACTAAAAGATACCTAGGAATTGTGGCTAACGTCATGAGTACTTGGCTTCAAATACCAGGAGTGGGAGTGCACTGGAGCCAGAGTAACGAGTAATGTGTATACAGCCATAAAAGCCAGAGGTTTTTTGTCTGAATAGAATCTGGGATCTCAGCTTTCCCCTCTAGACATGCTGTGGGTTTATAATGGTATTTGAAAGTATTGCAGTCAGTGCCCTTGCAAATAACGCCCCCCTCCAAGAAAAACTTACTAGCCTACCCTCACCGAACCATGCAGTAAGTGGTGACATAAAAATAAAAAAGAGGCAGTTGTTATCAAGTTTTCTACCTAGCTACTTGGAGGAAACTTTCACCAGAGGAGACCAGGTGAGTGGTTATTTCAAAGTCCGGGAGGCAATGTCAGCAAAAGATTCCTGTGTTCAAGGCAGGAGGTTTCTGTACACTATCTCACCCTCACGGCCTTAAAGTCACATTTTCCATATCCACTGAGCTTGTTCACATGCAACGTTAGACCATAGATTACAATAAACTATGGTTTAATGAGCACAAACACTTTACTCCTCTTCCATTACTGACCAATGCCACACACGGGAGGAAATAAGGGAGGAACAAGACAAGAGTCGGGTTTGTTACGTGGGAACTCACACCCATGTTGTGTTTCTCTCCAAACAAACCCCGAACAGAAGCCAAGGTTTGTTCTTAAAGCTTGTAAGAACGTTGTGTACACACTGGGCAACTATCTGCTAACATCTTCGTATCGTCTCCTTCACTGCTCCATGCCACAAAATCCTAAATGGTGCCAAGCTAACATTCAGGTTCTGAACACAGGTTTATTATCAGCGGATCGGCCTAAAGTTATGCAAATCAGAAACCTTTCATTTTAGCACAACATTTGGGTTTCCTTGGGGCAAAATTTAGTTTCTGTTTTTAGGGGAATCTGGGAAAGCATGGCCTTAAAAGATAGGTCTGCAATTTTACCATCCTCAGATATCACGTATACTAGGGCAATGAGGCGGGATGCTACACCCTCAGGCTGCGTACAGATAATTATTTCTGTGCAACGAGAAAAATATCTTCCCTCCTACTGCTGCTATGGGATGAGCTCTCACCCATCATCAGTAGCTAGATAACTGGACAAACACATTTCAGAGGGGGAAGTGAGTCTCCATGGGCTGCATGCAATCGGCTCCAAACACACATATGTGTATGCGGAGGCTGGCCCCAGCTTTTCTGGGATTTAGCCAACAAAGGGCTCCTTCTTACCAGAATTGTGAGCCTCGAGCTGAGAGGCAGAGTTAACTGTCACCTTGCAAGTGGGACAGTATAGGTGCTGCTTGTTCTTCTTCCCCTCTTTCTCCGCGTCTGGCGCTGAGCTGGTGCTTCTGCCTAGTTCAGTGGCTGGAGTCTCCGCTCCAGGAGCCGCAGACGACGATGACACACTTGCAGTGTCTGGAGCTCCTTCCGACGGCTCTGAAACAGGTGGGGAGACGAGGGACAGGATTCCGCCAGCCAGCTCGGCAGGTGACTCCTCAACAGGGGACATCAGGATGAGGCTGCAGGGCTCTGCTGCCGGCTGATTCAATCCCAACAGGCCATTGGATTGTGCTAACAAAAGAGAAGGAAAACAGAAGGTTTTTATTTCCCCCCGGAGGATGTTGCAGCTTCCTCCCTTCCTGCTTTTCTTCTCTAGACTAGACCTTGGCCACCGCAGAGACACATAGGAACATAGGAACTCAGAACATTGGCCTATATTGAACATTACTGTCCACAATGACTGGCAGGCGCTCTCTCCAGGGGTTTCAGACCAGACATTCCCAGTCCTACCTGGAGATGCTGGGAATTACACCTGGGAAAGCAGATACAGTGGTACCTTGGGTTAAGTACTTAATTCGTTCCGGAGGTCCGTTCTTAACCTGAAACTGTTCTTAACCTGAAGCACCACTTTAGCTAATGGGGCCTCCCGCTGCTGCCACACTGCTGGAGCACAATTTCTGTTCTCATCCTGAAGCAAAGTTCTTAACCTGAAGCACTATTTCTGGGTTAGGGGAGTCTGTAACCTGAAGCGTATGTAACCTGAAGCGTATGTAACCCAAGGTACCACTGTACACTGTACTCTACTGCTGAGATACAATCCTTCTTCAGAGTAACCTCTTTTTAACTGAAGCTGCCCTCTAAAGCTGATCAGTGGTGTGCAGAGGTAGCCCTAGGATTCCTTGAGCTCTTGGTGCCCCTCCCTGCCCCCCAAAAATCTGAGAAGCAGGTGAGGCTGCCTGGACAGGAGGAACACACTTCCTTGGGGCAGGATGGGGTACCAGCACTGCTCTCTGCCTCAAAGCTACTCACTCCAAGGACTCCCTTCCATTCCCTCTGGAGGTAGCGGCAGTGGCGGCAGCAGCAGCAGCAGCGGTTTTTCCTGCTGGAGAAGCTGGCAGATTCCTTCTTCAGACAAAGCAAGTGCTGGAGTGCTAAGTCGGAGGGAGGAGGGCACTCCAGGTGTCACGGGAAGACTCCAACACCTGGCAGGTGATTTTTGCGCCTTCCACCTGGCGGAGACCGGTTTCGCCAGCCCCTCACCCCTCAGTACGCCTCTGGTGGTGAGCCAGGGGCTTTTTCAACCATATCTGGAATGACCTCTCCAAAGGGAGACCCTCTTTTCCCAGAATGGGATGTAGTACTTACACTAGGGGACGCGGGTGGCGCTGTGGTCTAAACCACTGAGCCTAGGACTTGCCGATCGGAAGGTCAGCGGTTCGAATCCCCGCGACAGGGTGAGCTCCCGTTGCTCGGTCCCAGCTCCTGCCAACCTAGCAGTTCGAAAGCACGTCAAAGTGCAAGTAGATAAATAGGTAACCGCTCCGACGGGAAGGTAAACGGCGTTTCCGTGCACTGCTCTGGTTTCTCCAGAAGCGGCTTAGTCATGCTGGCCACATGACCCGGAAAAACTGTCTGCGGACAAACGTCGGCTCCTTTGGCCAGTAAAGCGAGATGAGCACCGCAACCCCAGAGTCGTTCATGACTGGACCTAACTGTCAGGGATCCTTTACCTTTACCTTTTTACTTACTCTAGAGGAGGTCTGGTGTCATTTTCCCTCTCCCATAACCAAAATAGCAGCTGCACAGAGGAGGGCCCACTCCACATCAGGACCGTGGGTGGATGAGAAAGAGATTCAACACTTTTGCCAATGCCATTTTCCTACCGAAAATCATCTCTCCTTCATAGCTGCTATTTGCAGATTCCCTTCTGAAATGGCTAGCAGCGCATGGGGAGGGATTTTCAGTGGGAAAACGACACCCTACCTCATTGTATTTATTTATTATTATCGATGAACTTCTCTGGGTAGCTCAGTTGGTTAGAGCATGGTGCTGATAATGCCAAGGTTGCAGGTTCGATCCCCGTATGGGGCAGCAGATTATTCCAGCATTGCAGGGGGCTGGACCAGATGACCCTCAGTGTCCCTTCCAACTCTACAATTCTATGATTTATTGCACTTATAGTCTACCTTTTTCTCCGAAGAACTCGAGGGGGCTTCCATGCTTCTTCCCACTCCTCATTTAATCTCCACAACAACCCTGTGAGGTTGATTAGGCCAAGAGTGGGTGACTGGCCCAAGGTTGCCCGGTGAGATTCATGGCTGAGTAGGGATTTGAACCCAGATCCTAGTCCAGCACTCTAACCATGACAGCACATTAGCTCACATTGTGGCGGGAGGCAAAGGGATGTGTTCGACGCCAGGTCTAATTTGACCAAGATTAACTAAATAACCCCCACGTACCATCTTAAGGTAAAGGTACCCCTGCCCGTACGGGCCAGTCTTGACAGACTCTAGGGTTGTGCGCCCATCTCACTCAAGAGGCCGGGGGCCAGCGCTGTCCAGAGACACTTCCGGGTCACGTGGCCAGCGTGACATCGCTGCTCTGGCGAGCCAGAGCTGCACACGGAAACGCCGTTTACCTTCCCGCTGGTAAGCGGTCCCTATTTATCTACTTGCACCCGGGGGTGCTTTCGAACTGCTAGGTTGGCAGGCGCTGGGACCAAGCAGCGGGAGCACACCCCGCCGCGGGGATTCGAACCGCCGACCTTTCGATCGGCAAGCCCTAGGCGCTGAGGCTTTTACCCACAGCGCCACCCGCGTCCCCTTCACGTACCATCTTACATTGCCTTAAAAATGCGTCCAGGTTATCACCCCACCCAGTTTCCAAGAAGTGGAGAGAGCATTTCCACAAACTCAGAACGTCACGCAGGGCTTTGTGGGCCACCACTGGTACCTGCATTGCTGTGGCCGGTGTCTCCGCTGAGGTCCAGCGCGGTGTCAAAGTCAGCAGCCGTTTTTTCTTGGCTGCCGCTGCCATCCACAGTCTTCTGCTTGTTTTTCACTGCTTCAATGGCTTTGAGTCTCCGGGCATGCTTGTGGCCTCTGTAATGCGCTTCAGCTTGATTCTGCGAGATGGCAAATATGGAGATGGTAGCGATAAGAGAGGGAAGGGTGGTTTCAAAGGCCATTCTACCGTACGACAATTCAAAGAAAGTCTATGGCGCGAATTACCACCTTTTTAAAGGGCTCATCCACCTTTCTGTTTGCCCTGGGCCTAAAAAGCATCCGAGAGGTTTCATGCTTGTCCTGTGCTTTCTAGGCAAAGGCCCAAGTGGTTTGCCAGGCCGCATTTTCCAGGAAAACCCTCTCTTTACTTCTGAATCGGAGCAGAAGTCAATCTGCAGAAAACCCAATTGACATTTGCTCCGATTTAGCGGTACCCAGAGGGTTTTTCCTGGGGGAAAGCAGTGGGACAACTGGAAGTTTGGACGAGCCCTTACCTGGTGGAGCTACACTTAGAGGGAGGATTTATTTATCTTGCACCTGCCACCCATTCCTTCTGGGGTGCTGGAGAGCACCACAGGCAGCAAAAACAAAACTTGAATATTTAATCCCTACATACAATTCTGTGTACATCCCCTCTCCATCCCTAGAGGGAAATGTCTTCGGGGGGGGGGCAGGCAAGGTCCAGAAGAGGGAGACAAAAGTGACAGGGTGTCATGGCTTGTCCGCACTTAGAAAACATGGGCCCAAGAGCTTTTCCGTTTGCCCAGCCACTTTCCCAGGAAAAACCTACTCTTTATAGCTGAATCAGAGCAAACGCCAATCAGCAGGGAACCTGAAGAAGTGTGGATGAGCCCTTACTCTCCAAAAGTGAAATTGACCCAGACTCGCTTTTTTTTTTTTAAGAGGCACAGCATAACACGTGACCTTAGGGCTGCTTCCCACAACATTTTATAGTGGGGGGGGGTGGAGCGGTGGGAGGAAACACTGGCACTCGGAAGAGTTCCCCATTGCCTGCCTCCTCAATCTGTGTGCAAGGGGGTCTGCAACAGCCCCTCCTACCTCAAACATTATGCAAACGAGGACGAACCGCCAAGCAGCACCCTCATTTTAATTCAGATTGGATTTTAAGTTTCCATGAATTTGCCGCAGAGCTATTCATTCTGGCGACAATGGGGAGAATTGTCTCTGACTGCTAAACACACAAGCATTTTTTTGGGGGGGGGGCAGGGGAGGGTGGTCACTCAGTATCCTTTTGTAGTCTTTTTTTAAAAAAAATATTATCAGCATCGCACAGGCAGGGGGACATGAAGTGTGTGCTAATTGATTCAACCTTCCCACAGAAAGGTGGGGAAGGATAAAGGAAAGAATATACCCTATTACACACACACATATTCTGGCCTGCCCGTCTGTGAACATACACTGCATGTTAGACATGCACCCCAGGAAGTGACAATAGCTGACAGTCACGTCCTCCTCCTCCTCCTCCTCCTCCTAAAGGATATAGATTTAGCTATGTTACTTTATTTTGTATGTTGAAGCTGTTCGCCATATGCGTTCTTTTATGACGCCTCCCATTTTTATTTCCTTTTGCCCAAAAGCTCCTTTTGAAACAAGCAATGGGTTGCATTTAATCAGGGGCAATGTGCCTTATCTCCACTTTGCCAGGCAGTGAACAATGCCAGGAATTGAATTATATGGGTGCGCAGCGTGAGGGAGGGAGGGAGGGAGGGGTGAAAGTTGTCACAGTATAAAATGGGAGGCTTATAGCAAAAAGCAAGGGATGGAGTGTGTGAGAGAGAGTGGCGGGGCAGGGTGAGGCAAGAAGGAGACACTGCTTTTGCTGGATGACCAGCAATCACCATAAAGCCAAAAGTGACATAGCTGAATTGTGAGCCCCCCCCCCCCCCGGGCCTGAGCAGTCTAGGGTAAGGAAAAGCAAAAGGGAGAGGAAAAGCTACACAAAGGCCGGTTTGTAGCTTATTAGAAGACCAGGGAGAAACCCTGAACCAGGAGCTTTTACAGGGGCAAAGGAGCACTGGCAGGTCGACTGTGGCCTACTGGCAGTACGAATATTCCTTGGCTCCTCTCCCTGCTGCAGTTCCTTCCTTTCGCCAGCGCCAAATAACAGCGCATGGCCTGAAGAACGTAAGATGATGCAGGAGTGTTTTGACTCTTAAAGTGCCCTTGAATTCTTGGGAGTAAAACAGAGGAGGGCAAACAGCCTCGCCTCGATTTTCCACTCTGCCATCTCCTCCGCTGCTCTCTTCCTCGAAGGCCAGATGCTCGCATCGTGTTAAGGTGGCAGCAGAGGCAGTCACTCTCAAAAACGCATGGAGTATATCTATTTCCTTCTGGGGATCTGGGCCTGGGATTACAAGTCCCAGGATGCGTGGTGAAAAGAGAGATGAGTCAGGAGGACACCCCCAGTTCAAATCTTGCCATTGACAAAAGGCAACAAATGCCCTAAAGCAAGCTATTATCTAAGGGGTTGTCCACAGGGTTGTCCCTGTGCCTGGAAAGCATGAGTCCAAGCAGTTTTGCCTTCCCCTAGAAAAACCCGCTCTTTAGTGCTAAATCGGAACAAAGGGCAGGCCACGGAAAACCTGATTAGCGCTGTTGTGATACAACGCTAAACCATGCGTTTTTCCAGGGAGAAGCTGTGGGGCAACAGAAGTGTGGATGATGACCCTTTAGTGCAGGGGCCAGCAAACTTTTTCAGCAGGGGGCTGGTCCACTGTCCCTCACACCTTGTGGGGGGCCGAACTATATTGGGGGGGGAATGAACGAATTCCTATGCCCCACAAATAACCCAGAGATGCATTTTAAATAAAAGCACACATTCTACTCACGTAAAAACACACTGATTCCCAGACCGTCCGCAGGCCAGATTTAGAAGGCGATTGGGCCGGATCCGGCCCCTGGGCCTTAGTTTGCCTACCCATGCCTTAGTATCAGCCTCCCATATGCAATAAGGGTGTAATAATATTACTGACCTACCTTACAGAGTTGCTGGGAAGACTGAATGACGAGGGCTACTTTTAGTGCTCTAAAGCTAGGCTACAAATGTAAGTTAGAATGATGATGATTTATAAGGAAGTCTGACTCTGACTAGGGTATTTTCAAGTTGTGGCTCCTACCCAACTGAACCAGTTAGCATCTGACTGAGGCTAGTCAGAAGCTGAACAAGAGGCTACTGTTGGCAAACTGTTGTTTTCCAAGCCAACACAAATGGAGCATCCATATGAAATGGTCTCCAAAAGCCACCCCAGTATCCTTTTCAAGGCTCTCTTTCCTTACTCACTCCAAGGAACTGAAGAATTTGGGGTGTGGAGTGGGCCTCCTTCCCACCAGACACATCTGGCTTGCCCGCCCCCATTCCCCGCCTGTCCCAGCTCCCGTACAGACATGCCTTACCGCAGAGTTGAATCTGAGGTGGCAAATATTACAAGAGATGAACTGCTTTTTCTTGAGTAGGTTGGGGACACCAAAAGTGTGGTTGATCACTGCTTTCTGTACTGGATCCATCTAGAAGGGAGGGTGTAGAGAAAAGCAGACACGAGTCAGCCGATGCTTCAGAGAGACAGAAGGCTAGAGCAACACATCTCAAAAAATGTTCTGCCACGAGGGAACCCATTCCACATTTACCTTTTTGCCGAAAATCACACACTCACCTGCCACAGAACCCCTGTATATTGGAAAAGGATTCTCATGGTGGGGGAAATGTTCTGCAAAGTGCTTGCCCGACTTATTGGACCTCACTGTTGCCCCCTATGAGCTGAGAACGTACCCTAGAATACCACAAACACTCCCGCAGCTGTGTGTTGCTGAGGAAACGAGGAGTTTATCAGTCATAACTGATGGAACAGATGCAAATAAACGCCTTATACACCGCAATAGCCACCCAGTGAAGAGAAAAGACAAATCAACACAGTCTGCCTCTATTCCAGGACAGACATAGAAGAGAAAGTGACACAACACCACTTGTGACCCATAGCTCCTAGCTAAAAGCACTCCAACACATCAGGGATCTGCAGCCCATTCTGGCCAATGATCACAGGTCTTGCTCCCGGTCAGCCCGCTAACCTAAAACAGCTGCCCATCAGAAATAATAGGCCACACAAATACGGAGATCAGGCCCTGTAGCAGACCCAGATGCCAATGGCTTCTGTAGGCCACACTCATTACTGCATCACGGTTTCATTCACCTGTTCATCTTCCAATGAGACATAGTGTATCTCAGAGGTCAGCAAACCTTTCCAGCAGGGGGCCGGTCCACTGTCCCTCAGACCTTGTGGGGGACTGGACTATATTTTTTGGGGGGAATAAAAGGATTCCTATGCCCCACAAATAACCCAGAGATGCATTTTAAATAAAAGCACACATTCTACTCATGTAAAAACACCAGGCAGGGCCCACAAATAACCCAGAGATCCATTTTAAATAAAAGGACATATTCTACTCATGTAAAAACACGCTGATTCCCACGGGTTGGATTTAGAAGGCAATTGGGCCGGATCCGGCCCCTGGGCCTTAGTTTGCCTACCCATGGTGTATATGCTGGCAATGTCCTTCTGCATAAGACAAGCAGCCCAGTTTCTATGCAAAAAAAAACAAACGGACAGGTCACAAATATGATGTCAGAAATGGCAGAATTCAAGAACTACCAAGCGAAGCATTTCAGTCCCCCCAGAACACCACGCCTGTGACCTTAATGTGGGTATTATTGAACAAAAATACAAAAAAAAGGAGACCCACTATTTGTCTTGCCTGCTTAATCTGCCAAAGCCTGTCATCACATGCAGAGGATGTCCCTAACTCACCAACGGTTTGAGACCCATCAGCTTCCCTCACCTGGTGAAGCCATTTTTATTATTATTATTATTATTATTATTATTATTATTATTATTATTATTATTTCCCAAAGTGTGGTCCCATAATGAATTTGTCAGGTCTTTATGGTGACACAAGCAGGAAGGAGAGAGCAATTCAGTTCAGCTTTGAATTTTAATACAAACCTATTTAAATCATGCTTCGCGTCACAAAATGCAAACCAAAAAGCGTCCATCTTTTGAAATTTGCACTTCTACAAATTTTGCAACGCGGTTCTCCAACACCCCCCAAATGTACAGAAATGCATATTTTAGGGGGGCATGTGCATAAAAATGCATATCCTGGTGAAAAGATACAATGCATTGTATCAGGGGAAACTGCTTGCAATATTTTTTCCCCTTTTAACTGTTTATTCTTTCTTTCCTTTTTTTAAAAAATAATATTTATTAAAGTTTCAAACAAAATTACAGTAATACAAGAAAAACAAAAATAAAAAAGAGGAAATAAAATACAAAAAACAGAAAAAATAGAATAACAATTAAAAACAAATCAGTCTTTCCATATCTTATCTTTCGTTCACTTGTTTCCCGGACCTCCTCACACCTCCCTTTTTTGCATCCCAGATCAGTTAATTAATTCAGCAAATCCTTTCCCTTTTTGTTCTTATCTTAATCCTTAATCTTAGTATATTATTACTTCAAGTTCCCATCTATTAACAATCCATTTTTACATAAACCTTAATAACATTGCTGCTAAGACCACTTAACTTCATTCCAACATCATTCTAACATTCATTAATTTTACAATATTTCTGTAAATAGTCTTTAAATTTCTTCCAATCTTCTTCCACCGACTCTTCTCCCTGGTCTCGGATTCTGCCGGTCATCTCCGCCAGTTCCATATAGTCCATCACCTTCATCTGCCATTCTTCCAGGGTGGGTAAATATTGTGCACATTAGGCAAAATTGCATGCAAATATTTATATATTAAGAGAAATGCACACTAAATGCTGATGACTTTTTTTTAAAAAATCAAATGAAATGGCAAAGCAATGCAGAAATATGGTGAACTAAACTCAAGACTGGAAAAATTAGAAACTTGTGAGAGACCAAAATTTCCTCATCCCTAGAATATTGCCTTTTTTTGTTTTTTTCTGGAACTTATTTATGCAATACCAGGAAACTGGAACCTGGCCATGTAGTCTTCCATGGTTTTCTGATAACTTAAAAGTAATGTGCAGGGCTTTAAAAACCTAGGTAAACTGGATTCAGGAACTTCTGCAGCAACCTAGGGTGGAATCTACATCCACTACTGCATTTTGCGGCAATTCTTGGTTTCATTTGTTTCCATAGTGTTCGAAAATCTACTTTAAGTTCAAACCAAACGATTGCATTAAGTAACGTAGAAACGGATTAGAGCAGAGAACAGGGAGGTAGAAAGGGGGGAAAGGGAAGGGGTGGGGGAAACTAATATAAAAATAATGTGTGTGTTTGAGCACAACCATAATCTATAATGCACGTATTGTTCTCTTAGCCCTGTGGCTCTGGAAGATTATCTTATCCGAGGCTGGCTGTCAGGAAGAGGGGAGAGAGATTGAGGTTTGAAGGTGATCGTATTTCTCAACAAAGCTATTTAGTTGTCCAGACAGGTGCATCAGTCTAGCAGGCAAAGCGTGCAGACAAGGGAGTCATTATCTGGACCCCTAAATTCCATCCCCAAAGGGAGCAGAACTGGCAACAGAAAGTGATTAATGAAGTGGTGCCTTCCCATGCTCGTGATGAAATTTTTACTCACTCATCTGGAATAAAAATGAAGAGGCACATGCAGGTTTGGAGGCAGGAAGGACGGTGTTGGTGTTGGATCAGAGAATTTTGAGTGATCAAAGGAACCTTCTGTCCCAATCTTGAAGGTGGCGTGCTCAAAGCAGTAACCACCTGGTGCAGGGATGCGGTGCAAGATGGAGGCAGGTCCATCACCTGATCACAGGAGGTGAGGGGGAAGAGAGATCTCTTTTCATTTACTCCATTTCACCCTCAATGGTTAGTGAAATATACTCGGCGTCCGGCAGTGATTTCATGCTCTTTATTGCAGCTTGTAATCTTAGGGTTTTATATACATTATTTACACAATGAGTCCCGTCCGATTGGCTGATTCTGCTTCCTTCCTGGAGCCTGATCGGTCTTTTCCTGCCAATCAGTTGCTGCATTCTATGATCCTACCAGCCTGATTAACTTCCTCCTGGAGCCTGATTGGTCTTCTCCTGCAAGCCAATCAGTTGTTGCATTCTAGGATCCTACCTGCCTATTGTTCTAGGATCCAAGCTTAGTACATAAAGGTTAACAATTCTTTCCTCCAGTTAAAAAAGCATCCATGGCAGCATACAATTGGAAAACAAGAGCTGATTTGTGGGACAGAACCAAAGATCCACAACCCAGCGGGTTTTTTCCTAAGGTGTTATGTACTGAGTTGAATAGGATCCAAAATGCAGCAGTTTGATTGGTCCTAGAACAATAGGATTCAGAATGCAGCAGTCTGATTGGCCCTGGGACAATAGGGTCCAGAATGCAGCAGTCTGATTGGTCCACAGGAGCCACCCAATCCAGCTCCAGGTGGAAGTGAATCCACAACCTGATTGGCCTATAGGAGAATCCCAGAATTAGCCAATCACATGGGGCCCACTGTGTAAATAATGTATATAAAGCAGACATTCTGAGGGAACTTCCATTCCTCCTCACCACTATGAGCTGAATAAAGAGCATGAAATCCACTCTCGACTCTGAGTATATTTCATAAAAGGTGGCCCCTGACACGTTAATAAGCATGGACTTACCATTCCACCACCACGACTCATACTCTTTTCTTTTTAAAAAAGATTTTATTAAGGCTTTTCATAATACAATACAATAAAAAACCTAAACTGATCTAAACAAAAACAGAAAAAAAGAGGAAGAAGAATGCAAAAATATTCTCTCACAGGTAGATCTTAAACCTTGTCTTAACACAGAAAGAGCTGGACCCTCCCAGCTTTCACCTGGGAGCTTCTAGCTTCCCATTCTGGGAGATCTTCCCTTTCCTGCCTCTTACACAGGACCTTTCAACAGCCAGCCATCACCTTCATCTGAGTACAATCCCTTCATTGACCCAAAACTCAAATTCTGAGGTATGACCCCTCTGCACGTGGATGCTTCACTTGTAGCATAGCTAATCGTCTGCATGAATTTGTCTCATCCTTTTCAAAAGCCATCTTTAGATTATAAGTAGCCAGGGGGCTCTTCCTGTATGCTGAGGCCAAAATCCCACGCATGCTACTTCTGGATAAGTGTGCACAGGACTGCTGTCTAATTTCCACACAGTGCCTTATTTGTTGTGGTGCTGATGATAATAATTCCCGTTATTATCACAGCAAGTGGCTATCAGCGCATCTTGGGGTCGCGACTGCCATAATTTATTTATATTTAATTTATTTACAAAACTGTATCAATCGACTTTCCGCAAAATTAGACGTACAGCTTCCCCATTCTAAAAGTCAATCATTTATGACAGGGCTAAAGCAATAAAACAAATGAGTAACAAATTGGCAGACAAAGGCAATCATCAACAATCAGTCCAGCAATTCAGCATAAAAGCCGCAGGGTGAATGAGGAGGCTTTTACAACATGGGATCTAGAAGTGAGGTGGCCTGACAGATTTTTCTG